CTTAATAAAAGGAATGAAGGATGTTCATTTACCGAAGTTCTTCATGATATGTCATCAGTTCTAGGAAGCTAAAGAAATAAGAAATAGAAGAGCAAGTAGAAATATTAGAGAAATTCTCAAGGACAAGTTTTATCAAAATACTTTCAAAATATGGATCGATACTTCTGAAAACATCTGTGTGAAGCAAATCTGAACCGGAGTATAATTCTTACCCCTAGAAATTCCGGTAGGTCTTGTCACCTCCATTTTGAAGTTGAAATGACTATGAAATATGGCAATTGTGAAAAAATATTGAAAATCTTTCATAAAATGGATTCACAAAATTATACCAATTCATCTCATGGGCTATTGCTAAACTCCTTCGAGGCATTTTGTTTCAATTATTGGATTATATCAGATTCATAATTAATACCTATTCTTCTATTTCTCCATAGAAATTTTTGAATTCTACAAGATATAGAGATTCGGTTGTGATGTATATACCAATTTTTATTGTCCTTTCCACCTACGAAGGTAACTATACCAAAACGAAAAAATGAACCAATGATCTAAATTCTAGGAGATGTCACACAACTTTGTCTATAAATTCATACGAAGATCTCAAATTGCCGCATCCGCAACTGAAGTAGCCTCATTGTGTCGGCGGATTTCACGGGCCGCAGATTCTCAATACCCGCTTTTTGTGGCGCGTAACGCAGTTCGGTGACACCGACTGGCAAGACACATGTCGCTCTATGTTCAACTAATATTAGTATTCCTGTATGTTACGTACGGTAAGTAACCCACGGCCACGGAGTGAGATATACGGGCCCACCTGCGTGGCCTGCGTGCGCTCCATTAGCGAGATCCTCGCCTAATTGTCGAATATTTTCGTTTGTTCCAACATTTATGAACGATATGTGTTTATACAACGAAACTCGTACTGCTAACAGTTTTTTACACTGTGGTTCTTGGTAGGAAATATTAACGGTGTAACGATTTGACATTAGCTAGTACATTTCGATACCAATTGTTCGAATAACGTACTTGACGATGCAAAACGATGAATTGATTTTTAAGGAAAGGAAATGACTAAAATTTAGATTTCTGTATGTACGTATCCAAATGAGCTTAATTTAACACAAATTTCGAACGGAAATGCTAAAATAGTGAATAATGGAAATAATTACGGTAAAAACAGATTTTTAAATTCACTTCGTCACCCCTACTTCACGACAATTTAATTTTGCCCATGAATTTCGAAAGGAGAAAAAATGTGCAATTTCAGACAATTCAAGCTCTAAAAAAGAGATATTTTTCCTTGTTTTGAATATCTACCACTTAAATTCTCAACTTTCATAGCATTTGGAGCTTTGTTTTCCAACGTATGGCCCACGCTCCACAGGGGGCAATTTGATGGTTAAAGGGGGCAATTCGAAAATGGACTAGGCACGAATTCAACCCTACGCACTTCCTAAGTTCAACTTTTTCACCTTTTTCGGAGGGGGCATAAGAATTTTAAAAAGGTTAAGGTTGGACATGGCCCAAAAAAGGCTTGGAAAATAGAAGAATGAATTAATGTATAAGGACACTTTTTCAACAATGTACACTAATTTAGATTTCTGTAGAGGAGTATAAATCAACCAAAAGAATAATTTTTTCAATACATCGTCCCTTTTTCGAATGTTTTATTTCTGAATTTTAATTTTTTTTCATTAATTTCACATTTTATTAATCATTAGCATTCATTTCATGAAGACAATTGATAATACATTTTCACGATGGATTTTATGTTGAATGAGTGTGTTTTAGGGTTTTTAATTCTTTAAATATTTGATTGATATTGATTTTTCAATACATACATATTGAAATTCTTTGTCAAACGATTAATAAATCGATGACGTTTCAAGAATATCAAAAATATATATTTAAAGAATACCTACTTTCATGAGGGAGATAAACACTACTGTTCATCCACCTGATGTTTCATGTTTTGATTATTTTTCATATTATTTATTATTTCAATTATGTATAAATTTTTTTTTTAATTTATCATATGAATATGTCATCATGTTACAGTATTTTGTATTTTGTGAGTTTTTTCCATCAAAATCATCGGTTTTAAGTCAGCGATGAAAATGAAATTTATCAGAACCTATAAATGCTAATAATAAAATATTATCTGGTATAAAAAATATTCGCATACGAATTATGACCTCATAATCGTTCAATAACACATCAAATTTTTATGTTAATCGAATGGCTTCGGGTTAATATTTTCTAACGGAAACAGGCAGAAGAATTATGGCATTCAGTTTACATTCATGGGAGAAGCTGAATACTTGGAAGTTTTTATGACAGACCGGAAATTTCTTTCATAATTCTGGGCTTTCAGACAAATTCTAAATCGTAGCTAGTCAATGCCAACTATTTATAAACCATTTAGAAACATGGACATCACGAAGTTTTCAATGCGATCCTTTGTTGAAACTTGTTTGTCAGTTTCGGTAAAAAATCGATGCCTATGGCTTTTTCTAAAGCAAGGTTCAAATCCAAGAACGCAAATTTCTCTAGTGCCAATATTGATTAATTATTCGCTATTAACTGGTTATGAATTCAAACCATTTTTTGTGAATAACTAATTCAATTTATTTACATATTTCTGTTTTTTAAAAGGATCAGTATTATATACAACTGGTAGAGAAATACCTACTGTTGGATGTCCTGATGTACTTTCTAATTTTCCTAAGAACTAACACTTGTTGCGTGGTAGGTTTAAAAGATGTCGCATATATCTCACTACTGCCCTTAGCAACTGATATATTTTGGATATTGCGACCTAGCATACAGGTATAATTATTGTAGATGCTTCTGAGTGCATTAGAAGAGAAAAAATATTTTTTAAAATTCGAAAATTTGTGTGAAATAAAAAAAATTATATTAAAAAATTGAATAAATGAAAGCACAAACAATAATAAATGAACATGCATTATGCTAGTGAAGCGATTGTAAATAATCAATAACGTATGTGAAAGATAGATATTAGCAAAGCTTCACTATCCCGAAAATAACACTGCCAGAACTAATTGATGTAAAAGTTATACAACTAGACAAATGTAAGGACTAAGTTCATTTATATACGAGTACACCTACATACATAAGAGGAGAATATTATTTGCCCCCGTAACACAACATAACACAACAAAACATATCATAACATAACATAACAAAACATAACATAACATAACATAACATAACATAACATAACATAGCATAACATAACGTAACATAACATAACATATTTATGAATATAGAATACAGAATATATATAAAACTTGGCGTAACTCATGGTACGGACTTAGGTCCGCTGCTTTTCTGCTTATACATTTAATGTTTTTCATGTAAAAAAATGCTTTATACGATCATTTGCAAATTATACAATGCTACATGTTTGGTTTAAAAATATTCCGACTATGACAGAATGGATCAAAAGAAACTTAGCAGCAATAAATTAGCAGCGATAACAGTTTATCGCTGAATGTAAAAAAGTCTAAATTTATAGAATTGAGTTCAAGTTGAATTCTGAAGATAAATAAAAACGAAAATATAACTATTGAAATTGAAAAACCAGTACATTGAAAAGGCAAAAGTTGTTGAATTTTAAGGCAATATGTTAGATGAGAAATTGAGTTTCAATGATCACGTCGACTTTTCATATCGTCTAAAATCTCGAAGAAAATCAACTTTCTGAAAAGAATTGAAAAAAATCTGACGATGTATATGAAGTTATTGCTCTTTAAGTCAATAATGAATATTGTTCCTCTCTTTTATTCAGATTGAGCAAATAAACAACTTTCCAGCTACAGAAATTGCAGAATAGAGCTATGCGAACAATTTTGAAATGTTATAAGTATACTACAATCCGAAGTATGTTAAATCGCTTAGAATTGATGTCAGTTAAACAGATAATACTTTATGCTACGTATATATTTCTATTTAAAATCAAAAACAAATTGTTCCCATGTAGAGTAATGAAAAATGTAACATGTGTCAGTGTTAGTTTCGTTTTGAGCAAATAATTTTTTAATAATAAATTTGAACGTAAATGTATATATGAATTTTTTATGAGCTATATTGCTCAATAACTATTATAATTATTATATTATTATTATTAAGTATTATTATTATTGGCACCTACAGTTAAATGTAAGTGCTGCCATACCAGTAAACTGTTCTGAAAGGCTGTCCTCTTTGATATTCTTTTGATTAATTCAAAAATTTTCTAAAATTAGGTCCTATTATTTTCTTAAATATTTAATATCCATAAAGAGCGCTGAGTATGTTAACTTCAAATGTTGCGAACTGTAAAAAGCTGACGTCTTTCAATTAACTCCGCAAAAACGGAAGCAACATGAAAATTGCCCAACTCCGCTTTTAAGCAGGTTTGATTCCATTTGAATCGACGTAATGTGATCTGTATCTCCTCCAATCTATTCCGTATATTGCTCTCTTGAAACTTTCGAGCATATTTACAAAGGCCCAGCTGCTGGTTGATGCTATCGTGCTCATCTTGTCTCTTCGACATATGCCAAAAGTACTGGTTGTCAATGGAAAATTCGCACGAGATGACATACCATATTCAGCCGTTTGAAGCTTTTAGGGATACATGACTTTCCCTCTTTATTTCATTGAATACATTTCAATCAAAGATTATTGAAGAAAGTCTCCGGTGAACTCGAATATGACATTTACTCGAAAGAAATCTGTTATATATACGTATACATACGAAAATGGACAATAAAAATGTCAAATTATTAAAATAAAATGGAATTTTAAAAAATACAAGCTAAACAGCTTCGTTTAGCTTTTTAAAATGGAGTAATTTCACGAAATTTCTATTCTTCTTTCGAATTTTCTATTCTTTATATTCTAAAATGTTTCACCAAGAGATCAGCGAACATTCAATCAACTTTATAAATAAATACGTATATATTGAATTGAAGTTGCATCTCAAAGTGTAGACCTCGGTAGCTTAACGGTCGAAAGCAGTGGGGCGTAAACCTGAAGACCTGGATTCGAATTCCAGTCGAGTTTGTAAACTTTTGAAATGCAATTTCAATTCTCAAGTTCCACTATAAGAATAATATTACATTCTATATATATATAACGGGTGTCCAGAAAGGGTAGGGGGTATTTGTGAGTTCAATTAAAACCAAACCACAAGTCAGAAAAATATATATACCTATATATTAAATTTTACAGCAGATATTGGAAAATTAATTAAATAAAATATTGGTAAACGTAATGTCATTTAACGTAACGATCTTCAATTATGTCAAATGTAATGTACTGAATTTGAAAATTTGCTACGCGTTATTCGTAGCTACGTTTGTAGGAGTAATGATATAGGTAGTCACTAAAATATTTGTTTACAAGCATAAAAATACGAAAGGTCTTTAAGATGAGTCAATAGTTGGATCTTTATTTGTTACTGCGTTTTCTTGAAATCTAAATCAACAAAAACCGCATATTGATTTTAGAAATCAAAGTATGCGGAGAGTCAAACAACCTATAGCCGAGGGGTGAAAAATCTCATCTTTGGTTATGTTATGACCAACATTGAATACAGGTCGCGTTATTATGTTTGCATGAGGCCCAGCCTACACAATTTTTCTCTGGGGATGTTTCACCCTCCCAACTTATATTACACTCATAAACTTCTATTTTGTATTGAGTTTTTCCGATTATATGTAGCGAGAGTTATTGTATTTGACTGTTTATGTGACTGTGTATTTGATGTTTTTCGATTAATAGAAGCTTGATAACGAATTGTACTTTATGTGATCGACATTCTTGAAAATTTGAATTTAACACCTCTCATCAATGATTCATACATTTAGGCATAAAAAATGACTTCTTCAAGAACGTGAAGGGGTTTTACGTGTATGTATTTACAGGATTTCCATTGAAGATCCTGACTCCAGCAACAACTTTATCTTAAAAGATTGATAGAGAGAAATTATTACGTGATGATTTTTACCACCTTGTACCCCCCAGTGTTACGTTGAGGAATTTCATTCAAACAATGTCAATGATCTTATATTTTCAATGAATTCAGGCAATATGAAATGAAAATTAACGAATAAAAAAGTTTAGTTCATTCAGCATAACGAATATATAACAATAATTCATCACAAAACATCCATAATTATTATTACCATATTAAGTTTATAAATATCATAGTTATCAAGACTTTCAATCATAACAGTTAATTCATGGAACTCAGTCTTCTTTCATTAATATAATTAAAATCTGTTACAACTGTATAGTGTTATATGTCAACATAAAAATGATTTCTACCTCATAATTTGGTTTAATAATCATGTAATTGCCTGACAACTCCCAAATTCTGTTATTAAGGTTTATTGTTAAGACACCTTTCGATGTTTTATTTCATACTCATCATACCTAGAACTTTGAACATGATCTTGACAAGTATATATCTATAATACATCAACATCAGTCTCATTTCTTATTCTGCAATGCCTGAAACTAACTCAACTCAATTTGATTTAAGTTGAACGAAAGCGTGAAACACTACCCGAAATGTGTCTGCATGATTGACATATATAATAATTGTGAACACATCCAGTGGAATCTACATATTTCTTCTTAGGAAACAATTGTTTCTAGACGTTTTATGTATGTCTTATATATTTGCAATAAGTCTTATAGTCGAGGTGTTCATCTAAGGGTAGGTACTCCCAAATAATTTCTCAAGATATACTTTCAAGGTTCTTAAGACATATCGCTATGTTAGCACAGTTTTGTTTGTTTTTATCACATTGTCTTCTTATAAAAACTCAAATACAGGGTCATAAAAATTAAATAAAATACATTTAATTGAGTAACTGAAATTTGTGCAAGATCTTGCAATTGGCTACTCAAAAGTCTCAACTTATCTACAGTAGTAGAGTCATCATTTGGACGTTTATTACCTACATACAGTACTAGTATATCCATCTAATTTGTTTTCCATCTGTTTTACTTGTAGAAAAAAGTCATAATAATAAGCAAAACGTCTCTTTTCTAAACGACGAAAACAAAAATCCTGAAATCTTTATCATTCAGTCGTTTATCACGAACACAAACGACCATAGAATATAGACAATAACAAACGACAATGAACATAGATCCTCATTCACTTTAGTGACCATGTGCTCCTCCAGTTATCAACTCCACATCACACGCATATCTCTGTATCGTATAAATAATCATATTTTACAATGTTTTATGACCTATAATCAATAATATATAAAATACAAATTCGTTATGATCTATAATGATGATAGCACGGTCGAATAGGTATCCAACGTAATATATTCTGGTCCCAAAAATTCTTTCACAAGCGCCAGACAATAAACGTATGATAATTTTCGAAACAAATCTAAAATTGAAATTTGTTACGGAAATATCATGTCAGAGCTAAGCGATTGATGTCACGTAAACAGGAAACTAATAGACGGCAGACATAAATGAAAAGTGACAAACTGTTTGAAACGAAGAATAAGTATCGAAAATGATAATTTCCTAAAGAATGCCAGTCTTGACAGCTCTGCTGCATTTATAAATAATAGTCTCGCAGAAACGCGTGCTTCCATATCGTTGAAGTTGAATAAGAGGCAGAAGACTAGTAAATTGCTCTCTTTTTTGAGGTTAATGAGGTGTGGATGATAGCTAGCTGCGTAGACACCCGATGTAAATTATAAATAGTGTCAGAACGCGTGTGTTGGACAAATGAGCGCCACCGTCAGGACGACAACCGTTAAGAACACTGACCACAGAGCGTCATTCTGTTACATCTTAATAACATCACTGTTATTTGTTTACTTGACACTAATTTTATTTCCGAATCATATGATTTCTTCGAAATATTCGTTTTCTGTGATCACTGATTTTTTTCTATGTTCTCTTCGGACTTTTCATCGTTTTCTTTTTCTTCCCCAAGTTTATCCTACGTTTGTTATTCTGCTACTTTGAATTCTACATCGATTAGTAGAATTATAGCAAAGGAACGTAGCAGAAGAAGAAGAATAGCAGGATGCGCAAGAAATTATATTTCGGACCTCATTAAAATTGAAAGGATTACGCCAATTGTGCCGCGATTCACTTGGCATCGAAAGAAGAAGTTGGTACCTCGAATAGGAGTCATATGTCACTTGTTAGTATATTGTGAAAATTATTCGTAATTATTTCGTGGAAAACTTGGTCATAAATAACTGAGAATGACGTTCAGCTCTGTTAATGACCCGAAGAAACTGATTTGAATTTAATATCTTAGAAAAATTGAATCATTTGGCAATGGTTCCTAGGAATTATAACAAAAGTACTAGAATTATTTTTGGAATGATAAATATTCATACGTCCAAAACTATAAAATTATAGTAGTAGGTAGACAGGATGTTCAAAAAGTGCACATCCATATGAAGGAAATAACTGATATTTTTACTATCTAGTAAAACAATAACATACATGCAAACACACTACAAACAAATAGCCAACAAATAAGTAATTGAATGTTACAATTTGTTTTTAATTTTGAATGTATATATACATATGTGTAGCTTGAAGTATTCTCTCTTTAATTGAAATTAGTTCTAAGAAATTTAACATGCTTTCGATTGGAATATATCTATTACAATTCAAAATTGTTCGTTTAATTCATTTCTGCAATTTTTTGAAACTGCTGAGTTTTTTCTTTGCTCAATCCGAATAACAGAGTGGAATAACATTCAATGAATGAATGAATGAAAAGACGTTTTATGGAGATTTTTGTTTACATTAAAATTCATTGCTATTTTTCAATTACAAGGTGGGAGGTTTTAAGGTCTCGCAACCTTCTTCAACCCTGTGCTAATTAAAAAAAAATTTTTATATTATGTTGACATCATATTTTAAAAGTGCGTCTGTGGCCGACTCATATTTACGTGCCATTCGGTCCAACGTCAGATTTTCAATTCATATGACATTTGATGGTAAAGGAAACCACAGAAAACTTTACCCACGTAATTATATTCAAAGTGTGACATTATTAAATTCTGTGTAGAAATCATATACCTAAACAGAAAACTCCCCATTAATTAAATCATGTCAAATGACTTTTCGTCATAACAGATTTTGACTGTTACTCTCCATAGTGGATTGGCAGATAAGCAACATATCACAAATATATTGAACACTGTTAGTGATAAGCGGACTGTTTCTAAATGACGAGATACTTTCATGCCATCTGGTGCTAGCTTTTGTAACTTATGTTATAATATTTCCGGAATCAATGAATACTTACTTTACAACAATAAACCATATTATGAACAATATGATTATTCAAAAGCTTTTAAGATTCTATGCATTGAAAGATCATCTAAAATATCCCAAACAAAGTTTCAGGATAATGCCATATTTATTTTCCCAATATACCTATAATATGAATAATTTTTCAATAAGCAGTTATGAGAAAACACTCACATTATAATTTGAAAATATAAATATTTATTATTCCAGGAATTGTTATTATACAGATCCCAATTTAGCTGCAGGCAATATGCAAGTATTATATTTTTATTCATCTTTTAAATGATTCGATTTGTAATTTAATGAGCATAAACATCGCTGTTCTTCACGCTTGGAAAATTCATTTAAGATGCTTAGAATCACATATATTTCAAAAAATTACAAAAATCGTGACTTAGTCTGCATAATATGAACTGTGTTCAAAGAGAAACATATTCACAAAAATATTATTATGAATTGGGTAATGAAGGAAACTGTTAAAACTCAATTAAAATTTCAGGTTGGAGTTTTTAATTGTTTTTAATTGTTTTAAAGGTTTCAAAAATGAAAATTTTCTGAAAAAAATTTCGATGAATAATGGTTTTTGAAAGATAAACTGTATGATAACCAAGCAAAGCTGAGATTTTGTGAATAAAATATCGTAAATCTTATGTATCTACATATTGTGAATTGAATCAACATAGTTTTGTGATGTCCATTAAATACATAAAGAAAAAAATATCTACTACAAAGTTATTTTGTCAGAA